CATAAATAAGTGTGATTAAAAAAAAAACCCACACACAACAAAAGCACTGACAAAAACACTGCTAAAGCTTCAAAGCAAGAAAGCAAAGCAAGCAGCAAGGCTGTCCATGTAAGCACGGCCTGTGGGCACCAACACAGAACCTACTTAACTCCGGGTCTGCATCTAGTCCGACTTCTAAGCCTTTCTATTCAGAAGAGTTACCTCAAACATCAGAAATAATTCCCTTTTACTTCCAGCGACTGCCTTTCTTCTCTTCCATACATGTCTCAACTTCCTCAGTGACATACAGATTCCTATTTACAGTGTCTGCACTAACTGGGTGACCCTAAGAAAGTCATTCCTTTTCTGGTTGCTGCTTCTAATAGGTTCTAAGCAAGTACATTCTGTGATTCTGCTTAACACACATTAATCACACTCTCCACCTATGTCCCTATAATGTCAATATTACAAACTGTGGCCAGTTTACACATAATTTCTAATACTTTATTTTTAATGTTACTAATACTCTAATATAGTTTTTAAAAACTACTCTTTATATCATGAGACATTTGATAAAACTAGAAGTCAAAAAAAAAAAAAAAAGGAAAGAAACCATCACTAAAGAGCTGCTTTAGGAAGACTGGCATATACGCTTAACTGAAGGATGAGACCCACCTCAAAGGAGGAAGTATTTTATCACATGAAGACCCCACTATTTGGATATAACAAAGGTCATCAGCTGACCACTAAATCACTAATAAAGAGTTGTAACTAAGGGACTGGAGAGATGGCTCAGTGGTTAAGAGCATTGCCTGCTCTTCCAAAGGTCCTGAGTTCAATTCCCAGCAACCACATGGTGGCTCACAACCATCTGTAAAGAGGTCTGGCGCCCTCTTCTGGCCTTCAGGCATACACACAGACAGAATATTGTATACATAATAAATAAATAAATATTTTTTAAAAAAAGAGTTGTAACTAAGGCTAATCTTCCTATAAAGCTACTTTTTTTTCAATTCACTTTTTATTTTATGTACATTGGTATTTTGCCTGCAGGTGTGTCTGTGTGAGGGCATCAGTTCCCCCGGAACAAGAGTTACAGACAGCTGTGAGCTGCCATGCTTCCAGGTCCTCTGGAAGACCAGTCAGGGCTCTTCACCGCCGAGCCATCTCTCAAGCCCCTTTAAAGCCACCTTTGAAGAACACAAAATTTTACCAGACAGTGATGGTGCACGCCTTTAATCCCAACACTCAGGGAGGCAGAGGCAGGCAGATCTCTGTGAGTTTAAGGCCACCCTGGTCTACAGAGTTGTATTTTGCTTTGTTGTGGGGGAGGAGTGGGGAGTAATGGGGAGGGGTGGTGAGAACTGAGGCCAGGACCTCTAGCTTGCTAGGTTTGTGCTCTACAACTGAGCAACCACCTCAGTCCCAACAATACAACATTTTCAAAACAACCCTACAGACGTGTTAAACATGTTTAAGACAAATTTTAATACCACCATTGCCTTAGTTCAGAATTAATTTTGACTGAAGAGGGTAATGGGTAGCCAAGATGTTTATAATACAAAATAATGCTGTGACCAGGAAGCCTTATATGAGGATTTCTAAACCACCGCAGCACTGGTTCAAAGTGCTCTGGATGTTTTCAAAAATTGTATTGCTGGGCTGGAGAGATGGCTCAGTGGTTAAGAGCATTGCCTGCTCTTCCAAAGGTCCTGAGTTCAATTCCCGGCAACCACATGGTGGCTCACAACCATCTGTAATGAGGTCTGGTGCCCTCTTCTGGCCTGCAGACATACACACAGACAGAATATTGTATACATAATAAATAAATAAATATTTTAAAAAAAAAAATTGTATTGCTCTTGACATCTACTCAGGAAACAGTAGTTTAACTGAAAGCTCTCAAGGACCCCAGGAAGCACTGCAATCCATACACACAGGCAGTGAACATCAATGTTTTTATTTCACTTCTGTGTACACCTTTCTAAGTGCCATAAAAGAACTGAAGACTTGACTGCTTATGATCAAGATGAAACTTTTGACACTGAAGCAGCTTTCTGCTTTGTTGCATAAACTTTTTAAAAATTATTTCCCCCCTTTCTCCTTAATACAATTCCTGACACTCCCACCCCGAGAAAAAAAAAAAGAAAAATAGAAGACATTACTTCTCAAGGGGCGGTAGTGGCATAATCCTTTAATCCCAGCACTCAGGATGCAGAAGCATATGGATCTCTGAGTTCGAGGCCAACCTGGTCTACAGAGCTAGTTTCAGGTTACACAACACCATCTTGTTTCAGAGGTAGGGTGGGGGGAAGACATGACTTCTCTATTCATTAGACTTGCGCAAGTTCACTTTCCTACAATTAATTTAAAAAAATCTTATAAAACTTTCACTAGCAGCTTTTCAATAGTTAAAGCTCCTGAACTGCCTCAATATACCTTGATCAATAAAATATTTAGCCGGGCGGTGGTGGCGCACGCCTTTAATCCCAGCACTCGGAGGCAGAGGCAGGCGGATCTCTGAGTTCGAGACCAGCCTGGTCTACAAGAGCTAGTTCCAGGACAGGCTCCAAAACCACAGAGAAACCCTGTCTCGAAAAACCAAAAAAAAAAATTTAGAGATCTAACAATTAAATGAAATAAAAGTCCTCCATGATCACTCTGCATCCAACCGTTGTGACTAAATAACAAAGACTGAAATAATGTCACTGAGCGCATGCACCTTGTGTCTCAGTCACCATGTGCACCTAAGTTCCTGCCTGCAGATTAAATACAGCAGACGTGAGAAAAGGAAGCCTTTCCTAGACTACCCCAAACTGAGCAGCTGCACTGTATCCAAATATCACAATAGTAGGTATTAGTCATGACTTATTTGAGTTAGTACGCAGAATTTGGAAATAAAGATCTTGTAAAGATCTTGTTCTTTTTCAAAAATACTTTAAATCCATTATAACAACAAAACTACAATATTAGTAGTTTTATACTTTACCCTTCAAATAAATAAAACCTACATAAAAATGCCATAGGACTTTGACAAAGAAGTAAAAGGTGGTTCAGGCTGCCCTCTGAGAAAAAACAAACACCTCATGAACTAAGGCATCAAAATCTCATGCTCGAACCCTGGAATTTACTTTGTTCAATGCTAAGATCCTATAATCCAATGTTGAAATGAACAGTCAGAGGCATGAAGAAATAGGAAAGAACTCTGGTGAAGGGTCATCTCAACAGTGATGTCAGGTACATTTCTTTGTGACTAGGTCTACCATTTGTAAAAAAATAACTCGAAGCAGTTTCCATACAATAAATACGTGGAACTTCTTTAGTGCCGAGGAAAAACTCTCAAGCAACTTAATCTCTGAAACTCTGCATAGGAACAACTGAAGGGCAATACTACAACACTTCCCTAACAAACACACTGGAACTCAGACACATACCTGAGCGCTGCTCCCTTTAAAACACACCACACGAAACTGCACTTACTCTAAAAATGCTTTTGCACATTTAGACATTTCCCTGAAATTGTTTTAGATTTGGGAAGTCAATCAACTAAATATGTGTATATTTAGATATTCCTAACTACAATTTGTTTTGCTTAGTCCTTAAAATTAAAATGTCTGGCCAGCCTTTAATCCCAGCGCTTGGGAGGTAGAGGCAGGCAGATCTCTTAAGAGTTCAAGGCCAGCCTGGTCTATAGAGCTGGTGCCAGAATAGGCTCCAAAGCTACAGAGAAACCCTGTCTCAAAAAACCAAAAGAGTATGAAGTAACTTCTATTAAAAACATTTATGTTTATGTATGTAATGAACTGTATGGTTTCCAGCAAGTTCCTCGAAGGAAACACTTCTCTGCTTAACGCCCCCCTCCATAACTACAGCCCTTCTGTGTACCAATCACATTTAGTGGGGCCACGCTCCCGACCTTCAACACTGCCACTTGATTCTCAGCCAGTGTTTCAGCAGCAGAGACACCATCACCTATCTTTACAGCAAAACTGCTGCTTTACCACTCTGTAGGCTAGGCTGATCAGGAGCAAGACAGCAGCTGTTTGCTGAAAGGTGGTATCCAGAGTGCTAAGATCAACTACCATTAAATGGGGACCACAGCAAGGCAGAAGCTTTTCAAACCCACTTTTTTGTCTCACAGAACCTCCACTTAGGCCACTGTGAAAACCAGGCTCACGTGAAGCACACTGCTCTCCAGTGTTCTCAGTCTCTCACTGGTGACACACAAACGTGATCTAACATGAAGAACTGCCCAGATTCTAAGGTGACATGCTTGTGCAGTAATGATCTGACAACATAAAGAACCGACCAGGTCCTAAGGATACCTTCCCGTATAACCTATAAAACATCATTTCATCTTCAATCACCTGTGCAGAAACTTGTCTGACTCCTCACGTTCATTAAGTTCATGTCTTCATTTGAATGATAACAGCCCTATCCTTATCACCCGAGAGGGCTAGTCCTGCCACCCAGACAGCTTTGTCCCAGTTATTATTTCAGTGGCTAGAATGTACTCTTTTGTCCCAAATCTCTGACTGCCTGGCTTCTCTATCCAGCCCACCTGAAATTTTATTGCGGAATGAAAGAGGAATATCCACTGGGGGATCCTCTGCACTCTCGGCTTTACACTTATCTCGGAGAGGACTCCAGTCTTCGGACAACTTTCTTTCTGGAGTAATTCAGAGCAGAGAATGACAAGTTCAATGATGAAGGAGCCCTGCACCAGCAGAATCGCCACATAAAATCTTTTTTTCTTCTTTTTATGAATAGCTATTAATTCTGTATCAAATACAGCCCCTCTCACGAGTTGTTTGAGAAGCCCACAGTTTACACTTTAAATGTCCCTGGCCTAGCAAACTCAAGAGTTCAGACAAGCTGGCACATTTCCTCAAAAGTTTAGCGGAAACTGGTAGCGGTGCTGCAGGGTCATCCTCCAGGAGATACACGAGAGTTTGAATTACTCATTCTAGTCCTCTTGCCCTGTGGGGGGAAATGTTATATGCCATTCATAGGACACTCACCTTGAGAATTTTTACAACCACCCTCTCATTGTTGGTGATGTTAATGGCCTCAAATACTTCACTATATTTGCCCCGACCAAGTTTTCGAACCAGTTGGTAATCATCTTGATTACTGTGAAAGGCAAGAGACACACATAAATGCCAGGATTCGGGATTAGGCAAGCCTATGTGCACTATACATCTGTCCAGTTACTTCCATTCATCAAGCATTTGGAGGTGTCCCTACGTACCGCATCTACCCATTCCCTAAGTGAAAGTCACCCAGAAGCTTGGTTCCCTTCACTCTGCAGAGCTAACCCAACTGACTAGTTCTAACCTGGGGAGAAAGAGCAGCTACTAGGCCTTAAGGTTCACGTTAAGTGACCGAGCAAATCATCTACCCCAAGGGGTACTGGGGTGTTCCCCTGCCCGCGGTTCCACTGCACCTGCCTCCCATTTCACACCCTCCAGTGAGCCACTACCTGTTTTAGAGAATCTGCACATCTTAAAAAAATGTTCCTCCCACCCAGATCTTAACAGCTCAAGAGGACAGTCATGAACTTCCCATCCCACAGGAACCCCAAAGTGTGAGGGGCAAGGACCTCCCCCATCCCTGACCCCACGTTTTTCCCCACCGGCTGCTCAGCCGGGGGCCGGGCGGGCAGGGGAGGCCGGGGACACGTGCGGCCTCCCTGCCAGCCCCGAGGCCGAGCGGCCGGTCGGGTGCGGTTCGCGCGAGGGGGCGGCCGACGACGGCTTTACCCCCAGCTCGGGACGTGGGCTTCGTAGTCCCAGTACTCGCGGCTCCTCAGGCTGTTCACCTCGGCGTAGACCCGGGCCCGACTGCCCGCGGCCGGGCCGGGCATGGCGGGCGGGACCGGGGGGCGCCGCGGGGCGCCGAGGGCGGCGGCGCGGCACGGGGCGTGGGGCGGCAGGCACGGGAGGCTGCGGGCCGTCGGCCGCCCGAGCAGAAGGAGGAGCGCGGCGGCGGCGGGCGTCCGCGCCAGGCCGGGCCCGCGGGGGCGGGAGGACGGACGCTCGGGCCGGGGGACACGGGGGTCGCCGGCCGAGCCGGCCCGGGGCCTGCGGCGGCCGGCGGGACGGCGGGGCTCGTGCTCCGCGGCGGCCTCCGCTCGGCTCGCGGCCCCTAGAGGCGGCGGCAGCGGCAGCGGCAGCCACCGGCCGGGAGAGGGGTAGCGGCGGCGACGGCGGCGAAGAGGGAGGAGGAGGAGGCGGAGGAAACCCGGAAAAGGGGCCGCGCTCGCCAGGAGCGGCCGCCGCCCAGCCCCGGCCCGACCCGGCCCACAGCGCCCCCTGCAGCGCTGGGGGACCGTCACCGGCTCCCGCCCTCGCAGCAACCGCGCCACCCGCCAAGCACTGTGGTCATCCGCTGGTCCACTTGCTGGCCACCGCCTAGGAGCCTTAGTCCTCGACTGGAGCCCCTTTCAGCACAGCCGCACAGTCCAGCCACCACGACCTCCCGCATTGGCCCTGGTCTGACCTTCCTGACACCAGCTGTCCCCACTCGAACTGTCCCCCTCCCTCACTCCTCCTGCCATCCACAGACCCCCATCAGCTCCAAAACTTCCCATTCTTTCTGTGCAGAACCTGTCTAGTTCTAGACTTTCCCTTCCTTCCCAGTTTTCCCCCAAATTCCTCCCTGAGAGCCCACTGAGTCATCTCTTGGGCACTTGGTTAAACTAGAGTCGGCCAGGTGGTTTCCCTGTAAAGTTACTCTTTTCTTCCTGTCATTGAACTGGTAATTAGTGGGAGATACTTTCAGACTGTAAATATCCGGTTTTTGTTAGGGAGGAGGAAGAGCTGGAAGCGAGGGATTGGGCATTTCTAGGTGGGCATCCAAGCTTCCAACACTCTTCTCTTGGGTCTTCTGGGGTCCCTGGTCGTCTTTAATTGACAGGAATATCCTCACACAGCTCAGGCTGCTCTGAGTCTAAACCCCCCCCCCCCCCCAGTTTTCTAGATGAGACTATGCTTCCTCTTCATATACCTAAATACCCAGGTTCAAGTCCTGCTGAGCTCTGTGGCTCACAATGGATGTGGATTCGAGTCAATGATTCAACATCTCTGTGCTTCAGATTTTGGCGTATACACCCAGCATCTCCTTCACAGAGTTGTGCAGATAGTTATTAAAACACTACATTCCCATACTATTTTTTGTTTTCCTTTGTTTTTGTGTTTTTGTTTTGTTTTGTTTTTTGAGACAGTTTCTCTGTGAACTCCCTCTGTAAACCAGGCTAATCTCAAACTTGGAGATCTGCCTGCCTCTGCCTCCTGAGTCCAGGATTAAAAGCGTTACAAAACACTATCACTTTTTCTTCGCTGAGGCCAGCACATGTCTATCTTTCAATTCTCTGTGTAGCTCTGACTGACCTGGGACTCACTTTGTAGTTAAGGCTGGCCTTGATCTCACAGAGATCCAGCTGCCTCTGCCTCCCAAGTGCCACCACCATCCGACTTTGTAATTCTAGCCCTCTGGAGGTGGGAAAGTAGGAGAATCAAGCGTTTGAGGCCCACCTAGGTTTCATAGTAAGACTTCCTCACAAAACAACAAATGCCGCTGGGCAGTGGTGGTGCACACCTTTAATCCCAGCACTTGGGGGGCAGAGGCAGGCGGATCTCTGTGAGTTCAAGGCCAGCCTGGTCTATTAGTTCCAGGGCAGGTGTCAAAGCTACAGAAAAATTCTGTCTCAAAAAACAAACAAATAAATAACCCACCAAAAACAAACACGCAGAAAGCCCACACATTTGGAACTTTGCACAAATCCAAACACTTTCAGAAACAAAATCTGAAAGAAAATAAAGCACTTAGAGAATAAATGGTCTTTGACCTTTGGTTTCAGACCTGTCAGGCCCACCAGTCTGATTTAGTACATTCTCAGTGTTGCTCTAAGGTTGTTTTATTTGTTCATCCCCCCTCCCCAGTTCCCTATTAACTTGTCCACATCAGCAAGTCATAATCCTAACCCTTGGATGGGCTTTCTTAGTTTTAGAAAGCCCTCAATATTCTGCAGAAATTGTAGCTGCTTTGAGCCTGTGTGCTTTCTTTCCTCGGCTTGCATCAGACTCTCAAAGGGGGCGATGGCCTGGAGAGGATTTCAAACTACTGCCATTGATCTGAGGACTGTGTCCAAACCCAGCCAGGGCCCCATTCTTCGCCTCCTCCACGCTTGCCCACCTCTGACCCCACCCACACTCCCTGTTCCTGCCTCTCATCCTTCACCACCTAGCCCACACCCTTGTCTCAGAACCTGATCCCACACCTATGGCTGCTCCCACAGACGGCTCTGGCGCAATACACTCTAGATTTGGCTGATAGTTCATTGGCTCAACCCTGAAACCTGCAGTCAGCCCTCCCACAGTCCAATGGAAGGTATCTTTATGGCTTGTTGCAAGATAGGATGGGTGCCCCACAGAATTGGCAAAGACCTACTTGGGTCCCCCCCCCCTTTTTATGACTAGCTTGGCAAGAGTTGACCTGAGGTGGTACCCTGGCAGCCTAAGCTGAAGAAATCTGACTTGGGTTTGTGAAGGACCAAGCAGATACTTTTGTACAAGTAAGGTGGCAGGGCAGGGAGAGTCCAGTATTGACTTTTCTTGTTTACTGCGGGTGCTCCTTTATATGTGACAGCGATCAGAGTCTTATAAGAGGCAACGCGAGACAATACCTTGAATCAACTTATCCAGCAGGTTCCTACCAACTCCTCCTCTAGACCCCCATTCATCTGTCTTGATAAGGTCTATTTTCAAGACATTTGAGAGGTCTGTAGTCTTTTCCCTCGCATCATTTCCTCTTAAAAAGCTACCCTACAAATTGGATGGGAGTGTACCTGTGATTCTCTAGAGTCTTGAGGCTGAGGCAAGACCCTTGAACCAAGTAGCTCAAGACCAACCCACATAATAGAGAAGACCTCCTCTCAAAAACAAGACTAGACAAAACAGAAACCCAGCCTAAAAGATGTGAAGATTGGCTGGGCATTGATGGTGGTGCACACCTTTAATCCCAGAACTCGGGAGGCAGAGGCAGGCGAATCTCTGTGAGTTAGAGGCCAGCCTGGTCTAGAGAATGAGTTCTAGGACAGGCTCCAAAGGTACAGAGAAACCCTGTCTCGAAAGACCAAAAATTGAAAACAAACAAACAAAACCCATGAAGATTCCGACTAAACTAAGAGTGATGGAAGGTTCTGCATTCTACATAGTTGAGCTTTCCCCAAAAGAAATCCAGAAAGCTAAAAGCACCGAGTTTCTGCTTTAAATGAGTACACTAGCTGACATATGAATTACATCTCAATGAAGCTGCTAAAGAAAAAAGGAAACCCCTATATCTTAGCCAGATGTGGTGGTCATGCACACCTTTAATTCCACCGCTAAGGGAGCAGGGGCAGGTGGATTTTTATGAGTTTCAGGTCAACCAAGACCTTAATTAAAATACAAAAGAAACAAAAAAAATTATGGTTTAGAGATGTAGGAAATGACATACCTTTTCTTTCACGTGAAGAAACTAAAATCTGCTTGTGAGTTTAAATATGTGTGTTTGTACATCATAGAACCAGAGAGGGGATAGTGAGAGGGGAAGGAAAGGCTTTTTTTTTTTTTTTTTAATTATTGTGTGTATGGGGTGGGCTGGGGCATGTGCCATGGTATTTGTGCTGGAGGCCAGAAGACATCTTTTCAGAAGCCAGTTTTCTTTTACCGTGTGTGTTCAGGGTTCAGACTCTGGACTCCAGACTTGGTAAGCACAGTTCTCACTGAGAACCTCTGCAGCCCGAGAGAAGACCTTAAGGGCCTGGGGGGGGGGGGGGAGCAACAGAAGGTGTGCTGGGAACACACAAAGGAAGACTGAAGGAAGAAAGAGGATCAGGTGGAGGGAGCCTGTGGGAAGGTAGTGGGGGATGGGACAACATGAGAGCCAGCCAGAGTGACACCATGCCATGACGAAAACCCAATACTTTGCATTCTAACCTAAAGAAGTAATCAGTGGGTCAAAGTGCCTGCCGTGCAACCTTCAAAACCTGAGTTCAAATCCCCAGTCTCTACATACCTGGAGGAGCCTGCAGCCCTAGTGCTGTAGGAATATGAACAGGAGGATTCCTGGGGCTTTCCGGCTGCCAGTTCAGCTCCAGGTTTAGTGAGAGACCGGCCCTGTCTCAAGATAATAAGGTAGAGAGTGATAAAGCAGTACGTGGTACATACATGTGCACATGCACCACACCGATATTAAACATAAAAAATAATTTTTATTTAATTAAAAAATAAAACCCACAGGTTGGGGTTTTTCTGCAGATGAGGAAACCAAGATCCCAGTGTCAAGGACAATTTGAGGCCGTCACTATTTAAACTCACAATGTTATTTTCCTAACTCCTTTCAGATTCAGTCATCCCTCCCCCAAAGAAATTTATCATAAAAATCATTGTTTTTAAACTTGTGATTAACTAGAAATAATGTATATGCGCCAAGCTAAGGGATCAGTGAAAAGAATTACAGTATTTTTCTTTTTTAAAATATTTATTTATTATGGATACAATATTCTGTTTGCATATATGCCTGCAGGCTAGAAGAGGACACCAGACCTCATTACAGATGGTTGTGAGCCCCCATGTGGTTGCTGGGAATCGAACTCTGGTCCTTTGGAAGAGCACGCAATGCTCTTAACCACTGAGCCATCTTAGTGAGGCACGAGGCAGTGTTAAAATGGTGCTCACAAGGAACTCTCTGTGGTCAGAGTTTGATACTAAAAGAACTTTTTTATTGATACAAAAAGTTGTACCATCAATCATGGTCAAAAGAATGACAAAGGACAGCAAGGTGGCTCAGTAACGTGATTGCCACACTAGCCTTATGATGACCTGAGTTCAACCCCCAGAACCCAAGTAAAGGTGGAAGGAGAGAACCAGCTTCACAAAGCTGTCCTCTGACCTCCACACTCATGTGGCAGCATGTACGTACCCACCCACACATTCATTATACACACGTAATAATAAAATAAGCCAGGAGTGGGGCACGGGCCTAATAATTTTAAAATAAAATTTAAATGGAAAGCCATCATAGCCGTTTCCTGCTTTCTGCCTTCTGTAAATATGTCACCTTATATGGGAAGGATGTATTACAGACTTTGGGACTGAGAGACTGTCCTGGGTCATCCAGGTGGGCTCAGGGTGATCACAAGACTCCTTAGAAATGAAGAAGGGAGCCTGGAAGTGGTGGTGCAC